TCCTCTCTCGTGAGCGGGTCAAGCTCCTCAAGTCTTGACCACGCCGTCGAGTCCTCGGAAATCAGTGGTGAACTAACCGGATCACTTGCCGACGGTGTACAGGCTGCGCATACGCAATCTACATGCACGTGGCTAGGCTGGTCTAATGGTGGTACTAGCTGGGCGACATTATCCTCGTACGTAGCACGAGAATCAGCGACTAACGCATGCTCCCCGGTAGTGACATCGATTGCTAGCAAGGCAACCGGCTCCGGCAGAGTGAGGAGAGACGTCGCCCCTCTCCTTGCGTAACTCAGTTTCCCGAGTTGGCTGGACGGGGTACGCGTGCCTCGCCCTTGTCCGGGCATTGTGCGGTAGTGTGTACTACACTGTTGCACCATACGCAGTATGCGTATTTCTGACATAGGTCATAGACCTCCTTGGTGATCTTATAAGCCGTCCATGGCTGCTGCCCAGCTCCCGTCGCCGCTGTCCCTTGTGTCGCCTTGTTCTTGCGAACTCTCTTCGGATGCTTCGGCGGGAGCGCTGCGACAATTCCTCCATCACTCGAGGATGCTGCTGCAGCGTGGTGGTCGTCGATTTCCTCAGAAACTACGGCATTGTTATGTGCCGGATGTTGATAGGCCTGCTTAGCCACATAGTGCGACTGGGATTGTCTCTCGTTAGCGGCCTTGTCGTCCGTTTGGATGACCAAGTTTGCTCGATCCAGAATGGCCTGGAATGTGGTATAGTCGTACTCATTACCGAGTGCCGACCGCAATCCCGCGCACGATCGTGAGAAGAACTCGGATCGTTGATTTGGAAACGTGAAGTCGAAGCCTGCTGTGGTCACTATCTTTTGCCACTTCGTTGTCCAGTCTCGAGTCGGCATGTTCCCTTGAGAGCATGTGTACACCTCATTCATGGCCGCCTTCACGACGTTGCGGACCATGAACTGGGTGAACCATAGCTGCTCGAACTCCTTCCACGTAATGTGCGTGTGGAGTTCGGCGATAGTGCACTTGTGTGTAGCCGCTAGGTGGTTCATCCATCCCTGCGCTCCTCCAATCAGCTGCAGATATAGTGCCTTCAACATGTCGTCCGCCGGTACCATGCGGCATGATGCTTCCGTGAGGAAGCGTTGCCACCATGACAAGGCGTCCGACTTGTTGTAATCGTCGAACTTGCTGATGTCGAAGTGCGGCATCTTGAACGTCTTTGTAGCGGCTTCCGGTCTCGWYTGTAGCTTGGTGATGTCCGTCTTGATGGCGGYCACCGTGCTGCTGATCGAGTCTGGTCCGTTGAAAGTACTTATGTCGCCGATGATGGTGACGACGTGATCAATGCGCTCGTTGAGTTGCTTCGTCACGTCTGTCGTGCAGCCTGGCGCTGCTGAGGCGTTAGCCTCTATGTTGTTGACGCGTGTGATAGTGGAATTCAACAGATGATGCTGTTGCTGCTGCTGCGTTGCCTCTGTGCGGATAGCAGTTGTTAACGTAGTCATATCGTTCTTGTAAGTTTGTCGCTGCGTCGCGTTCGTGCGCAGATGTGAATGCAGCAGTGTATTATTCCACATAATAGCTCTCATCATGCCCAGCAGCAAGTTAGCCAGGTTACTTCTCTCTGCCTCCGCCGGTGTCGGGTCTGCCTGCGCTTCTGTAGGCACAAAGATCATGTCTTGGAGTATCGTCGTCCACTGATGCTCACAAGCAATCAAGGACTCCGTGCTGCTGGCATTCCGTCTGTCT